TATTGCGATCCATCATATCCCTGTGAGCTTGAAGAAACAAACCCACAAATTTTGATACATCTATTTCATATTTAGAGATTTTTACCTGAGAAGGTCGTTAAAGGTAATTTTACAACCAAGCTTTATAACAAAGGAAATGACTCTTAACTTTTCAGTCGCCAACTTTTTCACTTGTGTAGCAATATACATGTACCTTCATCACCTGCACGAGGTTAATCTATCAGTTAATTCGAATTGCAATGGCATTCTATATGTACATGTATGAACAATTTTTTTTTAAAACAATATTTTTTACTGACAAACAAGTTAGTGAAAAAAGAATATCAGCTGTATCGTTCAATGTTATTATTCCGTAAGTTATAGGTCGATATAATGAACTTGCCAGTAAAATTTAAATCATCATTAAGTAGAATGCTGACTCTTAAGCTTTTTCTTGTAAGACTATTGTTGGGCCATTCTAAACACACTGAATTGTCAGCGGATATTATCGTTAAATCTCGAGCGTAACAAGGAGCACACGGCGGATGTGACCGGTCGGCAAGGGATCCACCCCTCCATGGCACTTGATCCCATATTTTATGCTTTTGAGGTCCATTTTTAACAGGGAAAGTTTATATTCATCTATAATTAACTATAGTAATAGATTACAATATCGTAAATTACAATATTTTTATGCGCCTAGATCGATAGATCGGAGGCGTGTATTTTTTTTGTCCTGTCTGTTTGTCTGTTTATCCGTTTCTCTCTATGTTTGCTAAAAGCTTTTACCTTCGTCATAACTTTTGAACCATGAGCGATAGAGACTTCATATTTGGAATGCTAACTCCACCTATAAAGTTCTCTTAAAGTACACCGAGGTCGATTACCTGGTGACCCTGATTGTGACCTATTTGCTAAAAATAGCTTTTATCAAACTTTCAACTTAATGTTTGAACCATGAGAGAGAGAGAGAAAGAAAGAGAGAGAGAGACTCCATATTTGATAAACATACCCCACCAATGACGCTCTTTCAAACTACACCAAGGTTAATGACCTTATGACCTTGACTGTGACCTATATGCTAAAAATTGATTTCGCCATAACTTTTGAACCATGAAAAAAAGAGACTTCATATTTAGTGTGCACACTCCACTAGTAAAGTTCTTTCATATTATACCAAGGTCAATGACCTTGTGACCTTGGCTTTGACATATCTGCTAAAAATAGTTTTTTAACTGTGTTGCCTCCGGGCGCATAGTGTTTCACAAACACATCTCATTCACTATAAATTCCAGATTGATATATCCAATTTTAAAACTTTTTCTTTTCTATCTGCATATTGTATTTTAAAAAATACATCACTGGAATCTTTTTAAAGATATATTAAATCTCATACTCCAAAAAAAATTCTTGAGTAAAGATCCATATATTTACTCTAGTAAACTTATAATAAGTAAACTATATTTAAGTTCCGTAAATTTTGTAAAGGGAAGTACTCTGTTCCTTTTTGAAATTTTCTTTGTTTTGAGACTTTTGGGCTCCAGTAGTGTTCGTTATTTCAATAAAGTTCAAATACTAATGAAAGAAATATATAATTTATTCCCTTATATAGGAACGTAGCATCAGGAAAGAGAGGAATCGAGCCTGTTCTTTTTTTTTCAAACATACATATACTTTTTACTATTGAAAATGGTTGTTGCTACGCAAGTTGGCTTTAAATATATTGTAGCATAATGCAAAAATGGTAACCTGGTCTTTTAATAAAAAAGAAATGCAATAAAATATGAAGAAATTATAACCCAGAATTCATTTAAGCAATAATAATTTTTCTTGAATTGTATTGCAACTTTTATTTGTTAACAATAACAAGATTATAAAAATGTATATACTAAAGCAACCCCCCCCCCCCCCCCCCCCCCCCCCCCCCCCCCAAATTAAAAAATATTTATCTTTTCATTTTTTTTTTTTTTTTTTATTAAAATTAGGTGTTAGATCCGCTCGCATACTCGTACACTAACATCTAACAATATCCCATTGAGGGTCACGTAAGAGGTCAAATTCGGAACGGCTCTAGACTTATTCGCTTCAACAATATACGATGATTCTGCCAGCGACGATTTGATTGGTTGATAGAATTTGACTTCTGACGTGACCCTCAATGGGATGTTGTTAGATGTTAGTGTACGAGTATGCGAGCGGATCTAACACCTAATTTTAATAAGATCCCCCCTCCCCCGAAATTCAGATTTCTGGATCCGCGCCTGGTGCATTATTAGTTTCATTCACTTAATTACTTAGAACTACAGTATATTAATTATGTTGTAGCACATTTGTTTAAGTGGCAAGTCAGAGCTCCCTGATTTAATTTGTAGAATTATTAAATGTATAAATGTATACTGAAGCAAATACAATATGTCAATATGGATATAAAGATTTGATTGCTTATTCTTAATTATGTGTATAGAAGATTCTTTTTTTATGGAATATCCATCACACTGTAATGACGATTTTATGAGTTTATACAGGCTAGACCTTAGAAATATTTCATTTCACATGCTGAATACTATCATACACTAAAAAAACGTATTTCGGGAAAAAAGGAAAGAAAATGGATCATATGGGAATCGAAACCGCGAACTCTCACAGGTGAAGCGAGAGGCATACCACTACACCACGGATCTGCAGAACATTCACTATAATACATGCAAAGATGAAGTCACATACATGTATATATTCATGTTCGATATTGTCAAATTTTACACAATGCATGGTGTCTAATTTAACCTTTATTAAACAGTTCTAAAAGACGTAATAAGAATATAAAGTCTCCCGAGAACCTGTATAATATGTAATAACTCTCCTCATGCCCCTGTGCTAAAAATAGCGACATGTAATACAATAAATACTAATAAAACAAACGGTACTAGACACTTTGAGAGGGGTGAGAGAGATCCTAGGGAGTTTTGGTATAAAATCAAGCTCAAAATGCTCTTGAAATATTGCCCGAGAAGGAAAGTGTTACACACAGAGAAAATGTGTGAATTTACGGCCTTGAACTTTGACCTTTTGACCCGAAAATAAACAGGGGTCTTCCTTAGGCCACAGGGAGTTGTTACGTAAAATTTCATTGCAAAAGCTCAAAGCTCTAGAGATATCGTGTGGAAATTAAAGTGTTATAACAGACAGAATTTGTGTATTTATGACATTGACCTTTGATCTTTTGACCTCAAAATCAATAGGGTAATAGGGTTCTCCTTTAGTCCACAGGGAGTTGCTATGCAAAATTTTAATTGCGAAAGCACGGGTTCTCGAGATATCGTGTGAAAACGAAAGCGTTAGACAGACAGAATGACGGACAGAAGAATGGACAAACCCGAATTAATATCCCCACTTTTCAAGCGGGGAAGAAAAATAGATATAGACTGTTCCTTCGCCACGCACTCGGCATCAGATGTAAAAGTCACGGGTCTTTCGGATATGACCTTAAAAATGTAGGTCCTGTGTCACGTTAGGCGCTGGCACGATAAAGAACCCTCACTGCTCAATGGCCCTGAGTGCCGAGTATAGGTCTAAATTTTAAGCCTTTCACCGGCAAACGGTGACGTCTCCATATGAGTGAAAAATTCGAGATGGACGTTAAACAAAATACAATCAATCAATCAACAATTGTTGAAAAATTAGAAAAAAAATTATCCTATACTTTATTCCCATTAGAAAAAATAAGTGTTTTAAAAGGAGAAAATAATATTTACATTGCTTTATAATTCCATGATCAGTATGTACTGGTCCCTGCTGACAAAACGGGCAACAACATTGCCTTCGTTTATGAGGCAAAATAAATAGGAATTGTACTCATGTTATCGTTCCTCCTACTCACTTCGATGATTTTATAATGCATAGTGTATGAAGTGTTTCCTAACACAGAAGAAAACACCATAGAACACTTCCAATTCCATCGTTTGCTTATAAACATTTGTTAAATTGTACATTTGTTAAAAGAGTCTGCATTTTAATTTCACCTTTAAAAAAAAGTCAAAACTACCGTTACAGTAATTTCTCAGTTATAACTTGTAGTTTTCTTAATAGATAACATATGAAATCAAAACATAAGGTAATTCAATTTCCCTTTGCCTTACTACAATGTTAAAACATTATATATATATATATATATATATATATATATATATATATATATATATATATATATATATATATATATATATATATATATATATATATATATATAATAAAATACTAGGCATCCATGGCAAAGCACAATCAAAAATTGCACGTTACATAGTACAATCTTAACAGTTCTTCAGGATTGAGATGTACATTTTAGTGAATGGTGTATTCAAAGAATGATTAATCAACAACATGAACAAAGTGAAATGTTTATCTTTCTATATCTGACATATTGTAATTAATATTGGTGAGAAGACAAAAATTCTATTCGAGTGAAATATCGCATACATACCACATGATTGGCACAGACATTACATCAACTATGAAAAATGATAGTAGCAATCTGCTCAGTATAAGCATATAAGCAGTAACATACCAATGAAAAGGTTGAAAGTAAATGATAACCAATTGATGTATCAGCGTTCTATGAAGGAGTAATAAAAAGAAAAAGAAAAAAATACATTTCATCACAAAAATCATCAAAATATGGATGACCATATACAAAAGATCAAATATCTTATCGACGCTAATCGAACAGGTAAACGGTGTGTTTAGATCGTACACTACTATACGGAAAACAAAAGTTGCGATGAACATTATCATTAAGGCTTTGATTACATTAAAGATAAGTAACTTATATGTAAAAATTGATTTTTTGAGAGGAAACGGATAAAAAATAATGTATAGACATGAGCAAAGAAACAAACAATAGTAATTAAAAATTGCTTCCCCCGTTTGATTCGAAATTATTTGACAGACTATTCTAAGACTGACCATTAGAAAACTTGTTTTCTCTAAGAAATATAGGAGTAATTTTTCAGCATACAACCCATTTCTTAAAGATGTGCTTTCAATTCCTCCTAAAATGACAGATTTTTCTCCGTTACAGAGGATCATTGTTAATCTGACCAAAAAAATAACAGAAAACTCGTTCATATAATCCAAGCACCGAAAACGAAAATTTTGATAATTAATCACAGCAAGTTGCTCCTTCTTCTCAACAGATTCTACTTCTAAACAATCATTGAAAACTATTCTCAAATAAAACCACAACATGACTGAAATGAAAAGTAAGACCAACGTAAACAAAAAGCATTTTTCCCTTTTTATAAAGTTCCTTGTCTTTGGGCAACCTAACATATTTTCTCCTCTCTCCAATTCATTTTCATCTAAAGAAAGAGAATGGGTATTGAAATGGTCGAGTGGAAGAAAACCCCTTTCACATCGTATTCGCGGATCTCCACCGTGCTGCATTAATGATTCCATAGCATCAAGACATTCCGAAACATTTGTCATCCTCATTACCATGGAGTGCAATGGAGTATTTCCATTAATATCAATACAATTTATGCCACTTCTAGAGCTTACTAACATTCTGGTAGCAGAAGGTATAAATTTAAAAGACACAAGAAAAAGTAACAATCTTATTAACTGGTGCAAAAATGACATTTTTCCTTCATGAAAGTGGTCAAATTTACTACTCAAAAGCGTTTCAATCATATTTCTACTGCTTGTTAGATGAAACGGTGTTCTCCCCCTGAAATCTCTTTGGAACGGATTAGCTCCAAATTTTATTAGAATCTTGGCAGCATTTACGGAACCAAATAATGCTGCTACATGAAGCAAAGATAGACGCAGATAATTTCCGTTAAAATTTGCCAAAAGATGTGTTTTGGATACAATTTTGTGCCTACCATGAAGTCTAGTGCGATAAAAGCTCTTCCCACTTTCGTTGAATACTTTTTGTATCATCTGAATATCATTTCTGTGAATTGCCTCACATATTTCAACGAAATCTTTCCACACAGAACTTCCCGAAGTGACTGCTTTTATATGATTTAAAAACAAATTCAAGGTGTCATTTATTAATCCCTTTTTATTAGATAAGCTGCAACGAGGAAATCCAATAACAAGATCATTTTGTCCTCTGTCTGAACCTAAAAGCATCTGAACAATGTTTGAATTCTTATTTAGCAAGGCCTCTTGAAAACAAAAACTTCTGTCTAAATACAAGTCAAAATAAAGAAACTGATCATAAATTGAAGCGCCATAGCGCAACAAAACAGACACAGCTTGTTCATTATTCCTCAGCACTGCAATGATTAGTGGCGTTCTTTGCTGAAGATCAAACCTATTTGCATCGCTCCCTTTGCTTAACAGCAAATCTAACATTTCAATTTTACCAAACCAGGTTGCTACAAAGCAGGCAGTCCAACCCAGAACCTCATCTTTCTGTTCAATATCAGCTCCGTTTTCTAATAACAAATTAGCAATATCACAATTATTTGTTTTTGCAATTTTACACAGCAAAGGTATGCCATAGCGGTCGCAGGATTTAATCTTTCCACCTTTGCAGATGAGTAATTTGATGATATCTAAATTTTCACCTAAAACTGCCAAATGTAAGAGATCAGTAACCACTGAAATATTTTCATACAATTGTATAAAGATATTCTTTGGACTTTGACAAATGTGATAAAATAGGATATAGCATCCTGTGGCAACTAACCACTCAATAAATGTGCTCTTTCTTCTTTGCAAGACCTCTAGCAAGGCAAGTCTGTTTGTGTTTGTAATATTTGCGGAATCCTTACCTATCTGTTGCATTTTTTGTGGTAACGTGTCTGAGCATGGTAATTGTTTCAATTTATTTAAAGAAATATTGCTTTCTTGGAGGAAAGTAATAAAGTAATTCACGAAGTCTCGGTTTTGTAGTGGATCACTCAGAAGAACATCTCGAAATTTTCCGTCTACAATTTCTGCCAGAGTTCTTTTCGAAAATGATCTATACAATGAACGCTCTATTATTAAAACATTGTCATCGTCCTCATGACATTTATGAATTCGAACCCTTTCCAGTATAAATTCGCGCTTACAACAACTAAGCATGATTTCTGGATAACATGAAGCAAAGTGATAGGTAATTGATTCTTCCAGTCTATCATGGATGAACACAAAAGGATCGTCTGATCGGACAAATGAACCCGAGACTGATAAAAGTTTTCTATAAAGACGTTTTCGTGGAATTGTTTCTGATACTTCACATGCGCGTAAAATTTTGAAGAAATCATCTTTCCTTGGTAAGTCACAGGTGATATCAAATATTTGCTGTAGTGTTTTCTTTACAAATATCACGTTCAACACCAAAGCACAATATACCTCATTATTTTTCTTTTGTAGGCGGTCTAATTCTTCTCGAAAAATGATAGATGGATTGTCAAAAAACTTAGCTTTCCTTTTGAAAAATTCAGAATTCGAGAAAAACAATTCACATAACAAAGGAAATGCATAATTACAACGACAGATCATCTCTATTTCCTCTGTACCAATGTCACCCTGTCTGTTTTGTTCCAACATGTATTTTGTAAAGATTCCTTTTCTTTCATTAAGAGATAGCGCTAAATCAATGGAACCAAGGTAAACAATAGTTGAATTAAAAACCGCCGAAATAGAAAGTTCACCAATTTCCTTTTGTAAGTTTCTTCGCAAGGTACATATCATTTTGGCGTCTTTACCCTTAAATATTAATTCAAGCCGATTATTTGTTTTTTCCCATAATTCTAGGGCGATGTTATCAACTTTGTATTTACCAATGATATCATCGATAATAAAAAGTTGCTTTCGGCCACTGAATCTCTGGAAGAAAATATCGTTAGCAGAGCTAATGGGAAAAATTTCATAGCCTTCTTTCTCGAGCAGGAGAGATACATATTTCATTGTTGCTGTCTTTCCCGTACCAGAATTTCCTACAATCATAACATTGTTTTTTGTTTTGATCTTCTCCAATACTTCCTCCGTACCCCTGGTTTTATAGAACACTTCTGTCTCAGTCTTCCATTTTTCTACTAAGTTCATCGTATTTTCTAAGGAAACAAAATAATTCATAATGATTGCAATTACACATACACACATCTACAGAGAGAGAGAAAGAGTTAAAAATACACATGTATATTGTTATGTACTTTATATAGAGAGACTTTTTGGTGAAATTTTAAACAATATGTTTGATATCATTAATGTTTATTTTATGTCATTATTATCGCTCTTTGTTGTAATGTATAGATGTCACTTTAATTTAATCACGTGATCATTATAACTTGTTTATAAATAAAAACCATACGTTTTGTTAATTTGTCAATCTGTTGGCTCACGTGGTCCTGAATAAGAACCAAAGTTCCTGGATAAGGAAAAAGATCCCAAGTGAAACTTCGGAATAAGGCAAACAGATTTCCTATTCTTGAAAAGATTTGTATGCGCCCGGATCGATAGATCTAGGGCGTATATTGTTTTTGTCCTTTCTGTGTCTGTCTATTTGTCTGTTTATCTCTTTGTCTGGAAACTTTAATCTTCACCGTAAATTTTAAACCATTAAAGATAGAGACTTTTTATTTGGTATGCATATTCCACTAATAAAGCTCTTTGAAATGACACCAAGGGCAATGACCTTGTTTCCTTAACCGTGACCTATATGCTAAAATTAGCCTTTTCATTTAAACTTGAAAACTCGCCGTAACTTTTGAACCATTTAAGATAGAGAATTTAAATTTCGTATGCGTACTCTACCAATTAAGTTCTTTCTTGTGATAGCAATGTCAATGACATTGTGACCTTGACCAATATGCTAAAAATAGCTTCTTCTTTTTTAAAAAAAAACCCTTTATCATCACTTTTGAATCACGGGAGATACATATAGTTACTTCATCTTTTATATGCATACTCCACTAATCAAGTTCTTTAAAATTACTTTGTGACCTTGACAGTGACCTATATGCTAAAAAAAGCTTTTTCGAACTTTGTTACCGCCGGGCGCATAGTGTTTCGCAAGCACATCTTGTTTTCTATGTAAAACTTTGATTTTCTATTGTGGTCCCGCCCTACCCCTGGGTCATGATTTGAACAAAATTAAATCAACACTACCTGCAGAGAATGCCTTGTTTTTCTTGAGAAGATTTTTAAATATTTTTATATACTGGTATACTTCTATGTAAAAATTTGATGGACCATTGTAAAGGAAAAGATACAATGAACATGTAGGTTAAGACCGGTTTTGGCCCTTGCATTGATTTGGGTCTTTTGAATTAAATGTCCAAAATGGACATATCCTCCTGCTAGGTTTTTCATGGAAGGTGTAAAGCCTGAAGTCACTAGTACTAGCATTTTATTGACCTTAAAGTTGTTAAAATTTGAAAAATTAATAAAAATAGGGCGCAGCCTCATAAAACATCAATACTAATTTAAATATCGTTTTCCTGCATTGGAGGTTGGCCTTTGTTTTAAAGTAAGGAAGCAATTCTTATCCAATTTTCCTGATCATTATAATTTAAAATTTCAGTCTCATCCGAAGAACCCGTCTCAACGTCTCACAAGGGATCCGAATTCGCGAAGTAAGGATCGACTCCTTACTTCGCTACTCTAAAGCAGACTTTCTGACCATTCATAAAGCAGATGAATTAATCTTTCTAATGGGAACATTTTATTTCAAAATTCTAATAGCTTAAATTTACCTCTTAAGTTACGATGAAATTGCAACTCGTTTTTCAATTCATGGACTTCCTGTTGAATCCTGCATAGTAACTCCTCTTTATTTGATCCTTCCAAATCAAACCTTTCAATACCATGAACAATGGCGTCAGTTTCTCCATCACTTATTTCACTCAAAGCCTGTAGTGGAATAAAAGCCCGAGGCATATGAAACAATCGAAAACACCGATACCCAATACCAGCCTAAACAAATACGAGGGTTGTTAAAAAAGTTAGAGGACACATTGAATTGCGAAAAATCTTTTGTGAGCTGTGAAGTTTGACCTATACTGTAGACGTCTTTAATTTCGCGTGTCTAAAATTTCACGGTTTGTTAGAAAGTCACCTTTCACGGGGTTTTTAATTTCACGGAGAATCGTTTGTAAATATTCAGGTTCTATGACTGTTTCTAGGTAGAAATGACGTGTTTTAAGTTCGCGGAAAATTCTTTAATCGTGAACATAGTGAAGTTAAAAACACCGTAATGTTTTCCACTTCTACAGTATCTGATAAAGAATGATTGCACTTAGTGTACAAAACATGGCCCGCGATAAATTGCGCAAAAATAAGGTATAGAAAGTAGCCTAATGAAATTAATAGAACAATTCTTCAAGGTCTATATCGCAACTTTGCAAAATTACAGAAATTAAAAGTGAGTAAAATTAAAGAACGGGGCTGTGTTTTGCAAAAGGGGTCAACGCAAATCACGAATCTCCATTGTTATTTAAAGTTTTCCCGATTTATAGAGCTGGAATACATAGTGAGCGCATGCTTGCCCAAATTTCTCAAAAGGACAGAAGGTGTAAAACTGTTGGAAATTCAACATATGTAAGAGAAAACTTTGGGCAAGCCTGCGCTCGGGGTAAACTTTTTGAAAACGCCGTCAGTTTTCTTCACAGTTTACGGGTATTCACATGTCATTAACCTCATTGTGACCTGTTTAATATTCCAATTTACCACGTGATCAAATAACTTTGTGAATACGAAAAATCAATAAACTACGTAGTTGGAGATTCCGTCGAAAGGCGTCCAACTTAGGCCGTTACATGTACATGTACATTTTCAATTAATCAACCAAGAACTATTTCTTTTTTGTCAAGTGTTTAAATAGGGTGATGGAATATTAAATTGGAAAAATGTAACGATATTTTATTCTTAGTCCTTGGATTAGGGGACACGTTTGGAGGCTTAACGAGTGTCAAAGATTTAGCTCCCATCTTCGAAGTAGCATCATTCCTCAAAGTTGCTTTTGACTATAAAAATATAAGGACACGAGGTAGAAGTACGTAGATTGTTTAGCACTGGCATGGATTTCTTACTGGTACATATACCCCCCCCCCCCCCCACCACCAAAAAAAAACAATCGCACATACAATTAATAAAAAATTTTTTAGTGATAAAATATCACCACATGCAGCATCACAAAAATTACATTCCGTACACCATTATTTGTAAGAAGTATTTACTGTTCCTTTAAAAGAACGAAGGGAGAGAGAGAGAGAGATTTAAAATGTCAATACGGCACTCATCTTTTAACTGAGGTATATGGTTTTATATGTCTCTGATTTTAGAAAATATAGAAGTTTTTCTTAAATTTATTTTTTTTTCCTTTTCCGTATACAATTAGGCTCAGTTTATTTAATTAAATGTTAAATTTCCACCTAGAAACGACCACAAATTGAGGGATCTGGATTTATAGGGATCATATACATCTCAAAGATCCTCCCAAGTACCATCTTTCCTTTAAAAAAAATTGGTGTAATTCTTGAGAAATTCTTTGTGTTTATTTTTCTGTATACAGTTTGTATTTTGTATTAAATTCCAGGAGACATTGTAACTGGCTAAACATTACATGTGTAACGTGTGCCCAGCCGAGCGGTCTATATATTCAATTGGACACGTACCCGGTTACACCCGGGATTTCTGCAGTGTAACAATTTAAACAAATGATTTGTATTTTGTCCACTAGGACACAAACTTACTCAATATATTTACGATGATTATTTCAACAATTTACCTAATCAATATATTTACTACGATTCGCAGAACAAAATCAAGGGACAATTTGACTCCGGACCACCTGTCTCACCCCTAACCAATGTCCCGGACAACTGGCCCAACCAAGGGTCCAGGTTACTAAACCAAAGGTCTCTAGTCAACTGGCGTCTCCAGTTCTCTTTGGCACTAGGGTACAGACTTATTCAGCCTTTATTTCTAATGCCAGAGCTACTGAGGTTAACCAGTTGACGCAACCTATACAATAAGGCTTATTCAGCCCTAAAGTAACCTTATGGTGACTCGGCTTATTCAGCGTCGTCACTTTATCACCCTTACCTGGCCACTTCTTTGATCGTCTCCCGCAGCTAACATTCACTGTATGGATTCTAAGATGGAATGACTGAATCTGTCAACACCCGCTATATATATAGCATAGGACTGGTCTATTTCATGGTAGGGGAGACAGGTCATTCCAAGTCAAAAACCCTAACATCCCTTGTTACACTGATTGGAATAACCCTGATTCATTACATCACCCACCCCTTAAAGTCATACGTCCCGTATGAAAACAACAATTCAAGGGTAACAAATATTTATGTAGTTTTTTTTTTTTTCATTAAATGCACAGAATATCTTTCTGAATGTCAACAATAATCAAACTCTAAAGCAGTTTCTTCTTTTCAATCTTCTTAATCTGGTTCCCATCTTCAACCCACTTGATGACTACTTTAATACTCTCCGTGAAATACACTGGGTCAGTTTGAGACTCCCTGTGTTCATGTTTTGGTTTTTCCGGGGTTGGATCAGAAGGTGTGGCTTCTGTCATGGGGGTAACTCTAGCTGGTGTAAATACTGGCAACGGTCTGGTCGGTTTACGATAAAGTCTACCTTCTTCTCTCTTGGAGTCATCACCACACGGAAGTTCCTTCTCATTCCTATCTGCGCCTCTTTCATCTTCACTCTCACTTTCACTTATATCCTCCGGGAACACCCCTCGAAGATCTCCTGGATGTTGCTCCACCCAAGATTCACTTTCTGACAAACCCTCCCCATAACTTTCCTTTTGGACTACATCTTGCTCGCCGCCTTTTTCCTTTTCTTCCCCAATGTCATGTTTCCTTTTAAGATGCCTTTTCAAGTTTTTGGACGTTGTGGAATTGAAATCACAATAATTGCAAAACAGCAGGTCTTTGCTACATTTCCCGATGTGGTTGGACAATTCCTCATCTCTTATAAAACGATATGGACAGAAAGGACACTTTCTTCCCTTATTTACGGTTACCTTTGTCTTTGGCATTGTAATCTATGAAAAACAAAATAAAAACAATATTAAACTATCTGTTCACAAAGAAAACTTAATATTAACGATACATATATGTTTTTCTAACAAATTAGTTAATCCCTGACATAGTCTGACATCCATTTTGGTGGACGTCGTTTCCTTTTTGTGAGATCTGGCGACCAAATATTATTTTGATCATCTGATTCTATATTGGTTTCTGACCATGTCTCTTCCACTTGGTCACTTGTATTCCCTAAGTCGTTTCTTTTATCAGAGACCTTATTCTCATTTTCTAGACTTCTCTCATCCTCTAACTCAACAACTTTACTAGAACTTGATTCTCCCCTCAGTAACTGAGGGTGCTGTTTTCTTATCCTGTCTACGTGGACAACCTGCTCTCGACCTTTTTGTCCACAATTAATCTTGTAGGTCAGATCAGAACATTTGCCTAGGATGGTATAGGGACCATGCCAATACGAGGTCAATTTCCCTGATCTGCCTATTTTACGAACCGGAAAGTACATAAGAACATTATCACCGGGGGAAAACGTTTCAAAGCTAAGCTATCTGTCATGATATGTCTTTCGACGACACATCTCTTGCTTAGTTGTTTCCCGTACTATTCTGTGAGCTTCTTCCAAGCGTTCCTGTAATTCCCAAACCCATTGGCTTCTTGGAGTGACTTTCACTTCTCCTGGCAATTCGTACATTAGATCTAGGGGTGTACAGGTCTCTCTACCTAACATTAAAAAGTTCGGTGTATAGCCTGTGGTCTCATGAACTGCAGAACGATAGGCCTGCATAACGTATGGGAGAGATTTATCCCAGTCAGTCTGGTGCTCGTTTACGTATGCACTAAGCATGTTTGGAAGAGTTTTATTGAACCGTTCAACCATCCCATCACTTTGAGGGTGATAAGGGGTTGTTCTGGTCTTTTCAATGTGTAGTAATGCACAAAGCTCTTGAAATAATAGACTTTCATATTGCCTGCACTGGTCCGAATGAAGTATTCTAGGCACTCCGAATTTTGCAAAGACTTCCTCTACCAATATACGAGCAACTGTTTGTGCCACCATGTTAGGCATGGCAAAGCTCTCGGTACACTTGGTAAAGTAGTCAGCGACTACCAAAATATAGCGGTTACCCCTCTCTGTCTTTGGCAATTCTCCTAGAATATCCGTGGCCACTCTCTCCATAGGAATCCCAGATTCCACTATCTTCATGGGCGCTTTCTTTGTAACATTCGGACTTTTTCTCTTGGAACATTTTTTACATCCTGCAACATACGCTCTTATGTCCTTTCGGCAACCAGGCCAATAGTACTTACTTCGCACTCTATCAAGTGTTTTCTTGTGACCTAAGTGTCCTGCCCCTTTGAAGTCATGGCAGAAATAAAGTACCTTCCTCCTCTCGCTCCATGGTATTATAGCTTGAAAGATAGGACTGTCTTTTCCAGGAATCCACTTTCTGCACAGTAACTCATCTTTGATCAGTAACAAGTCCCATTGTCCTACAATATCTCGAACATAAATACTTTTTCCTGCTAGTTCTTCGGATTTTGGTTTCGTCCCATCCTTTAACCATTTGATAACCAATGCAACATCTTCATCGTTTTCTTGAATATTTTTAAGGGACAAACCATCTGACATTTGGGCACCATCCTCATTTTTATTAATTGCATGTAGAGCCCCTGATTCCTCTTTTTGATCCCATGCAGTAAAGAAACCACATTGCTTGCAGGGTATCCTACTCAGGGCATCAGCATGCTGGTGTTGTGCACCTGGCCGGTGTTCAATTAACATATCATATATACTCAATACTTCTAGCCATCTAGCTAGTTGGCCCTCTGGGTTCTTGAATC